TTCTTCCTAGGAGAAAAAGGGAAGTATGGACAAGCCCAGCAGGGCTCATCACCACCTCAATCACCTGCTGCCCCTGCTCCTGGGAAGTTCTCCAGTCCTCAAAGGCCCTGCACCTGGCTTCGGAAGCTACCTGGAATGCATACAGCCTCACTCTTTCAGAGCTGCTGAGCTTCACACCTTGAAAACAGAGCTACTATTGAAGTGACTGTGTTCCCAGCAGCCACCACGTGCTTTCATCCCTGAATCTCACTGAAGCACACACAGGTTAGTGCTGCTTTGGCTTCCTAGCTTCTGGGACTGTTCCACACAGGAGGCCCTCTATCACCTACCTCTGTCTACTTCCCTGTAGCTCAGCTATGCAGAGGCTACATCCAAGAAGGCAGCCATGTACTCAGTGCCTGGGCTGACATGGTGCTCTGCCCACCTGAGATGGGAATGTGGACCTGATGGGGCAGCCACAAGCCAGGCACTTGAGCCCCCATGGTGCCCTACCACTGAAAGCCAGCTTTCCCTGCACAAAATTCCCACCAGCGTAGGCACTAACATGATACAGAAGTTCCCATGCAGCAAAGCAGCTGCCTCCACAGTTCCTAACCCATCCCAGGCCACACAACCCCCTCAGCAGAGTTCTCATGACCCAACATCTGAGCCCATTAATCACACTGCCACCTCCTTCAGAGGAAGACAACTGGCCCAGCAGAGCAATGGATTGCCCAAGATGCCTAAGTTGGCCTGGCATCCTGCACTCAAGGAAGCTGAGCCTCACCTGATTGCCCTTCCAATAGTCTGACTTCAGCTATCTGGAGCCCAGACCACTCTTCAGAGTCTGAGACTGACTGAGACAGCCCATGACCCTGGAAAGTGAACCTCACACCACAGCCATGCCCCACTTTTCAAGGTTCTGGCTGCCACTGAGCCTCACAGAACCTGGCTCCTCCATCCTCTACCACTTCAGGGTTCTGAACCAACATCATGGGGTACCCCTTTCCAGGTGCCTGAGTTGCCACAGTGCTCTACTGATTCCAGAAACTTTCTTTTAGGGAATACCCCTAAAAGAAAGATGGCAGGACTCAAGTAAACTTTGGGCAAGAATATGACACAGTAACAGAACTCTTGCATGGCATGGGCAAAGTCCTGTGTTCAGCAGTGTGAAATGTATGTGTGTATGCATGCATGCAGGAATGAATGAATAAATGAATGAATGAATGAATGAATGAATGAGATATTTAAACTCCTTAAAATAAAATCAAAAATGAAATCAGAACCACTGTAACTGTTTTCACAGAAATATAGATCATTATAGATCATCATGAACAAGCATAAAATAAACTTGATAACCTAGGAGGAATGGACAAATTCCTCAATATATACATCTTAGCAAGATAGAACCCTGAGGGAAAGAGCCCGAATGGAATGACAACATGTAACCAGAATGGGTGAGCAATGAAATGCCTCCTATCATAAAGAAACCACGACCAGCTGCTTCCTCACTAGTATAAGCACAATTTTTAAATTATACTAAAAACCTGAAGGGCTGAGAGTTGGTCCACATTCTAGAGGCCAGTATTACTCTACTATCTAAGTCAGACAAGGGCACACATAGAAAATTAAACTGCAAGCCAAACCCTGATGGACATAGATGTTAAAATCCTCAGCAAAATATCAGGAAACCACACCCAAGAGCATATTAAAAAGATGATTTGACATTATCAAGTGGGATTCATCTATGGATGTAAGAATGATTCAATATAATCGACCAATAAATGTGATAAGTCATGCCAACAAAATGAAGGATGTAAAATATGTCTTCCCAATACACATACAAATAACATTTGACAAAACTCAACATTTCTTCATGACAAAAACAAAAAACAAATCAGGTATGGAAGAAACATATCTCAACATAATAAAGATGTGGTGGCTCCTGCCTATAACATCAGTGCTCTGGGAACTGAAAAGGGTTGCTAATCTGAGCCCAGCCTGAGTGACTTAACAACTTCATAATACTCAAAATTAAAAATAAAAAGACTAGGTGTGTGGCTGTGTGAGTGCCCTGGGTTAATTCCCAGTACTTGAAAAATAAATACCATACATAACACCTAACGTACTGATTGGAAAAAAGCTGAAAATTGCAAGATCTAGAAAGAGAAAACATACCAACATACCTCATGGGGGGTTTTGTTGTTGGTTTATTCAGCATCATATTGGAAATTCTCTCCCAATCAGGCAAGAAAAAAATAAAGACCATACATATTCCTTTTTTTTTTAAAAAAAAAAACACTTTAAAATTTTTTTTTAATGTTTATTTATTTATTTGGTACAGGGTCTCACTACGCATCTTAAGACTCATAGTGATCCTCCTGTCTCAGCCTCCCCAGTTCTGGAGTTACAGGATGTATTTCCACACCTGTGTTTGGTGGCTGGCACGACATGCCTGGGGTTTCAGGTCTGGCACAGCATGTGCTACTGAGGATCAAACCTCGGTTGTTGTGCTTGCCAGGCAAGCACTTAGACTGCTGAGCTGTCTTCCTGGCTCCAACCACACATGTTCCAAAAGACAAAGACAAATTGTCACTGCAGATGATACAATCTTATAGAGACCACAATAAGTAGTCTGCCAAAAATGGTTAAGATAACTGAATTTGAGAGAACTGCAGGATATAAAATCTACATACAAATATCAGTAGAGTCACTATACACTAGTACTGAGTTATGTGAAAAGCAATTTCACTTACAAGAACTACTAAAAATTAAAATATCTAAGAATAAATTTAGCCAAATAAATTTAATAAATTTAATTAAAGAGATGCGCAAAGAGAAAACTTTGATGCCATAATTGGATATGTGAAATATTTTTATCCCAACTATACCTCAATAAATCTTTAAAAGCATAAACAGTAGGGTTGGTGAGATAGCTCAGTGGTCTAAAGTGCCTGCTTAGGCAAATTTAGGCAAACAAAGCACAGGGACCACAGTTCAATCCCTGGCACCACACACACACACACAAAAAAAAATACAAACTACATTTTACCTTAGTAAGAATGACTTCAAGGGGCTGGAGAGATGGCTCAGTGGTCTAAAGCACCTACTTAGAACAAGCTTAGCAAAAGCATCAGGGACCGCGGTTCAATCCCCCAGCACCACATGCCAGCCAGCCCGCCCCCTGGTGGGCTGAGCTGGCCTCTCTCTCTCTCTCTCTCTCTCTCTCTCTCTCTCTCTCTCTCTCTCAAATAAATAAATAAAATTAAAAAAAAATAGAATGACTTCAAGACCTTCACATAAAAATACCAAAAATATAAAAAGTACAAAACCCCTTACCTCCTCTCTTGGTAAACCCTATCATGTCCCACGTAACTGCTGTGTGCTTCTTACTCACCAAGCATCAAGCAGATAAGCATTTTCCAAACTTCTTTCTTAATGTAACATTTATGTATTTTAATTTTTATCATCATAGCCAGGCAAATATAAAATTTTAAATTTCCCTTTTGCTTTCCCTAGCCATTACTTCCGCTGATTCTGTTGCTCATTTTGTTTCCCTAATTTGTACTCAAGCTATCATTTATTTAGTAATTATCAAATCCTTGCAATGTGGATGGTGGATCATCATCCTCATGTGCATTCCATATTGACTATTTTTCTACACAGGATGACTGCTGAAAACTGTTCACTATTTCTTCACAGTTATGAAAAAGCAAGTATTCAAAGAGATGGAGAGAGAAAAGATAGTGGCAAGGCAGTGACAAAGACGTGGGATCAGGAAGGTCAAAGCCTAGTGAGAAATGTAACTATTGTATCCGACAAGGTCAGTCAAATTCCCCTCAGAATTTATCCTGAAACCCTGTACAGCAGTTTGTAGATCCTTTGTCAGTGTCAGCCATGTGGATGAGTCACGGCCATTGCTTGACCGATTTGCTGTCTGTGAAAACCTGAGAGAATGTTTTCTCTCCATGTGACTCTCCTTAGGCACACTCTACATCATCATTCATTTTCCTCTGTGGCCCCATAATCTCCTTGATCAGAAAATTTGGGACATAACTGAGTTACACGATGTTACAGTACAGGTTCTCCTATGTTCTAGTCCTTATTGAACTTGAAAGGCTAGGACCAAAATGTTGGCTGTCCTTGCAGCCCTTCTATTTCTTTAATCTTTGGTCTACAAACTTAAGTTGTTAACCCTCCAGAAGAAAAGCTTATTATTATTACCCTACAATGTAGGCAGATGAGCTTAGCCTCACTATCTGTCTGAATATCAAACATCTTAGACATAACAGGGAACAGGTATTTTCCATCAAGCATGTTAAACTTTAAGTCCCTACAGAATATGCATTTCTTGTTATATAGGTCTTGCTTTTTCTTGGTCTTAACCATCCAGCAGAAAAGTATAAAAACTAAGTATAAAAAGTAAAGCCATAGTAATATGCTGAGCTGTAAAAGGCTCAAGTCAGCAACTTCTGACATTGCCAGTCTTATGGGGAAAACCCACTGCTATTATGGACTACTGAACTATATTGGAATATTTTGCTGAATTCACACACCTACAATATTTAAATAACAAGGAATACCCATCTCTGACAAAGCTACACACAAAAAAAGGGAATATAAATGAAGGACCATTTTGTATCTATATATTCAAAATAGTTAGGGTAGATACACAGCTACTTTCTCTTAATTCAATGAATAGAAAGATTTGCACTAATAATGTTTGTGGACAGGATATCATGTCTGCATCTTGTGCTACGAATAACCACTAAGAAGACAACAATATGCAATGTATTAATTATTGAAACTGTCCTACTAATCAGTTTTGAAACTCTCATTGCTATTTGTTTCTCAATAAAATTATTTTAAAAATAAACAAACAAAAAGCCTAGTAAGAGGCAACAAAGTCCAGTCAGATAACGTGCTTTGTAAATCTACAGATTAGTAAAACCTGAGTTAACACAGGGGTAAATAAAACGAACCTTCACATTTTAGGAATAAAACTCCTCTTGCTCACATACCTTTCTTTCTGAGACTTCACTCTCGTTTGACCTCATCTTCTGTGGCACTGTGACGCGCAGGAATCTTCCTTCAAAATCTGCAGTAACAACACGTGTTCTGGGTTTGTTTCTTTGACCGTTTTGTTTTATCAACAACAGCTTCAGCCTAGTACGTGTCCTTAATGCAAGTACATAGTACGGTTCAATACTTTTACTGAACTGATTTATGTGCCCACGCTCCAGGGTGCGAACTTCCCATATAAAATGACTCCATAGCGCCCCCCAAGCCCGTTCAGAATCACGCGGGAGCTGTGAATTCAGGACTCGGGAGAGCACACCGCGGGCAGCAGACTCGCACCCTGCTCCCCTCCAGGCGCATCTGCGAGGCTGCGGGGGCTGCAGACCCCTACCTCCAGCCTCTGTGGCAAGGCCTGAGGATATTAGAAGGGGTGGAGGGGCTCAGCCTGAGGAAGTTGTCCATAAGAAGAGTGCAGCCCAGCTCTGAGGCTGGGAGAGGCTGGAAGGAGGCGGGGACTCACCCAGGAAGGCGAGGAGGGCATGCTGCCCGGAGAGCGAGGCGAGGAGAGCCAGGAGCAGCAGCATGCCGCGGAAGCCAGCGGAGGCGGTTGGCGCGGCTCCCTCGCGCAGGGCTCGGTTCTCTGGAACGCTGGAGGCGCGGCCGGCCGCGGTGCTCTGCGCAGGGCCAGGGCTGCCATACGGGAGGAACGCAAGCAGGAAGAGGAACGCACTGCTGTGGCCATAACTTCCCAACAAACGTCCCGCTGCACTGCACATGTCCAAAACCCCCTGCCCCACGGTGCCTCTCGTAGGAGGGTGTAATCAGCTGAAATGCCTGCACCTGGCTCGTCTTGGTGGCCTCAGGGTGGCCTTAGTTTAGCCGCTCCCCACACCTCTTATCCCAGGACCCCAACACTGTTGGGATGTCCTGCAACCACAGTTTCAAAAGAAGCCCTTCTCAGCGCTAAACTTGACCCCGATAGGTACTTGTTCCACCTAGACAGCTGACAAGTAGGAAATTATGAAAATAAGGTAAGATACTGATCTCCATTGTCCAGTGTAAATTACTGGCAAGACAGATGAGGAAACTGTGGGAGATGCAACCCAATGTGTATTTTGTAAAGTTGTATTTTGATATAATTCATACAACACACAATTCGCACATTTAGAGGGAACAGCACATTCACTGATATGTGCCACCATGAGTACAGCTAATTTGACACATTCCTTATGTCAAAAAGTGTCCCTGTATGCTACAGCCATCAGTTCTCCAGTTCTTCAACAATCACTCTCAGGTCTAAAGAACTAGTAAACTGATTCTTATCTTTAGAGATGTCCCTGCTCTGGTTATTGCACATAAATGAATAAAATACTACATGGGGTGTTTTTGTTTGTTTGTCTGCAGTACTGGGGATTGAACTCAGGACCCTGCGCTTGTCAGGCAAACTCTTATTCTGAGTTATCTCCCCGGCCCTTACATGGCCTTTTTGATTGACCTATTCACTTATCCAAATGGCTTCAGAGTTCATTCCTGTTAACAGTTTCGATGTTTTACTCCTTTTTGCAGGTGCATAATATTTCACTGTATGGATGCCCACATTTGTTTATCCCTTAGTCAGATGACAGATGTTGGTTGGTACATGGAACAATGAATCTGTGCAGTGAGGTTCTTCCTCCTCTGTCCCATGACTTTTTTTTTTTTTTTTTTTTTTTTTATGGAGACACTGAGGTCATAGTCTCAAGGTTTGGCTGAGGGCTCCATAATCCATGTGTAATGATATGTGCAGGGATTGGTGATTCCCCACAGCAGCACCTCAGCACCACATAGGTGTCTGCTGCTTCACAGTTCCTGCCTGGGAAAACACGGTATGCATTCTGTGGGGAATGTTGAGATCAACACAGTTCTCTTTTCTTCAAGCCAGATACACCCATCCAGTCTCTACTCTGATCAATGCTCCTCCTGTCACTTTTTTAAAAATGCCTTTGCTCTTTCCCTGTTACCCAGCCCTGCCCATGTCAGGCCTCTCCAGTCTCTAGTCATCTCTTAGCAACCTCTCTACTCTCCAGTCCTAACTGAACACATTTCTCCTACTTTGTACCAGCAATGGTTGTAAAATACAAACCACATCATGCCAAATTTTTCTCACCACTTCATGTAGTAAGTCTGAGGTCATTAAACACAAAGAAATATCTTAGTTCTCAATTTAAGGACACCTGGGAGGAATCACCTGGAGACAGAACAGACACTTAGCACCAGGCACTCAGCCTGAGCAACTGCCTTAAGCTAGAAAGGATGCCCATGACAGCCTGGGGCTTTTGGGCTGTCTTTACTAAGATCCTTCTCAACACTCAAAGACTGCAAAGGATATAGAGGGAGGCCCTTGGCCTGTTTGAGAGGTGTGGGCTTGAGGGCCTTCCTCCATGAACTCAACAGTGGACCCAGGAATGCTGTCACCTTGAGATGCCACAAGTCGCAGGTGGAAATGCAAGCAAAGCTATTTCATTCCTGCCAAAGGATAACAGGGGGTGGAAGAATTCATAGACACAAGCATGTACATTTTCATCAGATTTGGTTTATGAAACTGAAATCTGTATGCCATAACAAAACTAGAGAAAAATGAGGGTGGTGGTGGTGGTTGTAGTTGTTGCTGTTGTTTCTGTTGTTGCTGAGGTGGTGGTGGTTGTGGTTGGGTCAGGCCAAATAAAGATGAATTTCTTGAAAATATCCTTTCTCTTTGTTATGGCTTTTTTATGCTGTCGTTTGTATACTGTTGTAAAATAAAAATATTGAAAATCTTAATTTTCATTGTTAATAACACTTTCTATTGTAATACACTTAGTAATTAATACAATAAGACATTTGTTATACTATACAAATCTATACTTCTTATCCAAAAAATTCATAATCCTGAATATCTTCTTATGAATGATTGTGTAAGCCACATTAAAAGGAAATATTATACATTGTTGTGTATACATAAACATTCACTTACAAAACCTCTAAACCTCACATGGCTAAAAGAAAAAAATCAGTAACATCAAATAGAAGAAAAGAAAATGGAAAGGTGTAAGCCCCGCTGTGCGTCTCCAGCCGGCATCCCCATGCACATGCTTAGCTCTGAGCTCGTCCTTGCCTCTCCTCCACAGCAGCACCTCAGCACCACATGGGTGTCCGCTGCTTCACAGTTCCTGCCTGGGAAAACACGGTATGCATTCTGTGGGGAATGTTGAGATCAACACAGTTCTCTTTTCTTCAAGCCAGATACACCCATCCAGTCTCCACTCTGATCAATGCTCCTCCTATCACTTTTTTAAAAATGCCTTTGCTCTTTCCCTGTTACCCAGCCCTGCCCATGTCAGGCCTCTCCAGTCTCTAGTCATCTCTTAGCAACTGCTCTACTCTCCAGTCCTAACCGAACACATTTCTCCTACTTTGTACTAGCAATGGTTGTAAAATACAAACCACGTCATGCCAAATTCTTCTCACCACCTCAGAAGTAACCTAACTAGGTCCCTATTCATCTAAGTGAAGACTAAATTCCTTATCATAGAACATTAGAGAGTTTTCTAGGCTCATAATGAATTGTGCTGATTTTCAAAAAATTATTTTGAAAAGTATTAAAAGCTCAAATTTTGGAAGCAGAAAGCGCTTTTTTAAAAAAATTTAGCACAGGGTTTACAGGGTCTCACTACATAGATCGGACTTGTAGTGATCCTCCTGTTTTTTCAGCCTCCCAAGCCCTGGGATTACAGGTGTACCCCACCATGCCCAGTCTCAGTCACCCCAGGGGTGAGGCCAGCATGCTGGGGATCCAACCCCAATCCCTGCACCTGCCTAAGCAGGTACTTTTGTCCACTGAGCCATCTGACCAGCCCTAGCCCTGTTAATTTAATATCAATGCTTTTTGAAATTAAATGTTAGTCTTAGTATCTTTCTGCTTTATACCACTAAACAAAATGTTTTTATACCACAAAGCTCAATGAACTCTGTTGGTTCAACTTTCAAAAGTTTGCCTTCAAAGTCTAAATGATTGCTTTCGAAGGCCCTTGCTCCTGAATTACTGCAGTTCTTTCTCTCCAAGCTGATTTGTTCACTTCTCCACTTTCCATTATACTTATTGTTTACAACAAACCAGCCTTCTATTGTATGTGCATGAGCTTGGCTTCTAAACCTGCCCATGAGCCCCTTTCAGTAAAAGAGACTCCTGCCTCCATGATCTCCCAGGCCCTGCCTGAGCTGCTTCTCCAACCTATCACAACTGTAACCCTCTGTTTGAGATAAACCGACAGCCTGTCATTGAACAAACTATTGATATTCTTTGCACCAGATCCTTCATGTTTTCTGAAAACTGCTGTGCAAGTCTATAGTTGACTCATTCTGTGAGCTGCATGCACTTACAGGGTAAAGTTAATTTGCAGATGGAATGAAAATATTCTCTACTTCTGATCTGAGATTTTTTTTTCCCAAAAGTAGTGGGAATTTAGATAAGATGCTTCAAATTTAATATATGGAACTTTAGGGTCTTATATCTTTTGGATTTCGAGTGCTTGCCTGTACTATCTCTCTTTGCACTGTAACCTTTCTGTTAAAATAAAAGCCTTATTCAAGTCACTCCATAAAGTCACGTGACTCTCTTCAAGTAATCTAAGCAGGGAAAATCTTTCTACCACCTTTATGTCACTTGCTCAATAGGGACTACCAGATAGTAGTATATTAAAAATTCCTTCAAGCGCTTTCTTTATATTCTCTATAATTACCATTCCAACTCTCCTAAGATATTTTGCATCATTACTTCTCCTTAATTATACTTATATAACTAACTTCTATAACATGCATGCTATTTATGGGTTAACAGCCTATCTCAAATTCTAGAGATAAAATTTAATGCAAACACTGAGTGCTGTTGAAAAAAAATGAACAAACTAAAAACTATGAAAAATCAAAAGTAAAAAAAATGAAGGTAAGGAAAAGCAAAGCAAAATATTGAAAAATATTGAGAAAAAAAACACGTCTGTCACAAGGTCAGTATTATTGCAGGAAAAAACTGAGGGATGTTGGCTAGTGATGTAAAGTGCTGAAGTGTACACACCCAGCAGGAAAGCCAAAGGACAGGAGGATGGTGACGGCCATGGGAAGACACAGTGGTCTAAGAGCTAAAATCTTATCTAACATGTGGGTATTTAGTAGTCATGCAAAAAGAAACTGAGATTGACACCAGCATAAAATAAATTGTTTTAAACTGAGATTAGTAGTAATAAGTGTTTTATTTGTGCATAGATCAGAAAACAGGAACCACGGACCTTCCTATCAAAGTCAGATATGGGGAAATGTGAGATAAAGAAGTAGAGGAACTTGGGATCTCACTTTTGATTAAATTTTTTAATATTTATATTGAATTCCATGAATCAACCTAACATGTCAAATAACTAATTCTTTTCATACATAAATTAGAGCACTGGACTTACATAGATATAGATTTTATTCCAGTACATCAGGGCTAGTTTTTATGTTTGTGGGGGCAGTCCCAGGGATCAGTGTGCTTCCCAGGCAGGCGCTTATGCCACTGAGCTATCTCTCCAGCACACATGTGTTTTGTTTT